TTCTTTCTTTCTCTCGTGAGTTTTGGGGATGACATCGGTGGTGTTCAGGGACTACTGGCTCTGTTTTCATGGTGCTGTTATTCCTAGCAGTGTTTGGGGACCATGAAATGCTGGGGATCAAACCAGTTAATCCCTGTATGATGTCTTCAACCCATTATTTCCCTTTCTTGACATAGAAAGGGTAAGGAAGTATGATCCAAGTGCACATAAATTTTGTAGTCCCATGCATAAAAGTCAAGGTATCACATATGCAAAACAAGTTCTCCATAGCTGAGTATCTATGTATGTGTTTTAGTTGAGGCACCATGATTTTTAAAAATTTAATCTATCCCCACGAGTGGCTCTCCGGCATGGCCACAGCCCCAGAAACTCAAGGACTTAACGCAGAAAACCAGCAGCTTGGAGCAGAAAAGCGAACAGACTATGCGTTAAACCGCGCCATCATGCCTGCCCGGAGGGGATAGGGTGTTGCCCCATTCGCCCTCTCCTCTCTGGAAAGAAAGATGGCGGCCGCCAGGGAGCCTTGTGGACAGCAGGTTTGAGCCGGGGGCGGGGGGCAGCAGGGGCCTCATGGGAAGGGGGGCGTTCTGGGCGTCCTTCACGCCCGACCGAGGTCACCAGCTGCCCCCCACGAGCGGCTCTCCGGCACGGCCACGACTCCAGAGCACAGAAACCAATCTCTTAACTATCTAACTTTTAATAGAAATTCTTCCAGGGTTAATAAGTAAAATAGCAGAAATCCAAAACCGCGCGGCCGCTATTGCGGCCCCGCGACATCATTTAATTCTTGAACCCAGCTGTAGAAAGCAAATCATTTCACAATGCTTTTTCAGCATGTCTGATTGGGGGGGGGTTGGTAAACTCTAAATAATAATGGTGCATCCTTTATCGAAACAATGAATTTAGTCAAAGTAGATAGAGTGTTAACTAGAACTCATCTGCCTCACAGGAATTGGGATGGGTGGGAGGTGGGGTTCTATTGGGGTTCGCGGTAAAAAATAAGTATTGGTAAAGGGAAATGTGTTTGATATTTACATGACTGAGACCTAAGCCTGAAAGCTCTGTAACTTTTCCCACAGTGATTCAATAAATAAATAAATTATTAAAAAAAAGTGGCCAATCAGGGAAAATAAATAAATAAATAAAAATTTAATCTATTTTATATAGTTCACAATATTTGATTATATTTAATATTTGAACACCAATCCCACCACCATTACACCTTCCAACACCATATTATGGACGTTGCCATCCCTAATCCCAATCCCAACCCCTGCCCCAAAGAAAAACCAAAATAATTTATTTCTTATTGTTATGAATAATCTGCTAAAAATGCTCCAAAAAATGTTCTTAGAGGAGAGTGTGTGAAGACTGCTGTTTTTCACCCAGGGGCCATTAAGCCCTTCTATAAGAGATTACTAATATGTTGTTAAGGGTTGAGCCTTGTGTGCATATCATGATCACGATCATCCTATTGTTCATCAATTGCCTTGAGCAGGCACCAGTAACGTCTCCTTCTTCCTAGCCCTGAGATTTTAAAAGAGCCATATTCAATGCTCTTTCAGGGCTAGGAGAATGAGACCTATCATTGTTTCTGGTATGTGGCATATTGAGTATGACACGCGAAGTTTGCCAGACTCTGCCATGGGGCCAGGGATACTTTCGGTAGCCTGCTGGGTTCTCCAAAGTAAAAACGAGATAATAAGATGTCACGTGGCCGCAAATGTGGCCGCACATTTCTGGGAGCTGGGTTTTAATAGGCTCTGGGTATTGGCCGTTGATGGGACCACCTGGTGCCGGCAGCAGCTGGTGGGTGTAACGCCTCCTACTGGAAGATGGGGGATCTGGGTGGAGAAGGCCCAGTTCCGGTCCGAGCAGGCCTGGGTTCCTCTGCCGGTTCCTTCATGCATGAGGCTTGTCCGGACGTGTGGAGAGTGGTCTCAGCATGGTTGTGCTCAGGGACCATATGGGATGCTGAAGATTGAAACCAGGTAGGCAAGGCAAGGTTGGCAGGGCACAAGGCAAGTGCTCTATCAGCTTTATGCCTGTCTCCACGATCAGTAAACTTTTTAGAGAGTGAAAGAATGAACCAGAATGAAAAAGTAAGCTATGAGTGAGGCAGGAGTAAGACCCTGTCCTGAATCAAAGGGAGAAAGAAAGGAGGGCGAGTGTTCAGGTATAAGGGTCTATATTCTAGATTCCAGGAGATTTGGTTAGAAGCGAATCCAGAAAACAGATCGGAGGCAACTGAATCAAGGGGAAATGTGGGACAAAAGTTCAATGCAGGGTTCAAGACTCGGGGATCAACCACAACAGATGAAGAGCAGTGTCCATGTGCCACATGCCAGGAACCAGGACTCACAGCCAGACTCACGAAGATTTGTTCACTCCTAAAGTCAGGAGTGGTTCTAGACTGGGGATGAAAACTGAAGTAGGTTGAGATAGGAACCAATTAAAAAACAACCCAAACAAATGGAGTTAGAGTTCGAGAAAGGCAGACCGTAATCTAAAGCTCATACATGAGGTCTTGTGGATTCCAAAAGGAGAGCCTCAAAGCAAAGGCCAGCACTGTAGGTAAATCGTGCTGGGCTGGGGGGGGGGGGGGGGGGGGGGGGGAGTGCCTGTAAAGGTCTAGGTGACCGTGTCTGCTCACCACCAGGGGGCGCATCCAGTACCAGGACAGCTTTGTTGATTGAGCAGAGTGGAGGAGGCAGAAGACAATAGATTATACTTGAAGTGTGTGTGTGTGTGTGTGTGTGTGTGTGTGTGTGTGTGTGTGTTCTGGCTCAGGCTTGCGCAAGCAGCATTCAAACTTACTGGAGCAGTCAAACCATCTCACCTTTTGCTTCCTGATGTCGGCTTTTAAGATTATATAACTGGTCGAGAAAAGTTTAAAGAACGATAAAAGATAAAGGCAAGAATGAGAATACAGATGGAGAACCAGAAAAAAGATGATGGGGAAAGGATCTAATGGATTAGAGAGTGAAAGAATGAGCCAGAATGAAAAATAGGTAAATCAATTTTTGTGGGGCTTTGAAGGGAAAAGATTTAATTAGAAGATGATATGGAACAAAAGTGAAGAAAAGCACCAACCCTGAAAAAGCGAGACAGGAAAAAGTGTGGAAAGTCAAACTGACCTGTGAGGAAGTGAAGAAAGAAAAAACTCCAGCGAAGGACTGATTCAGGTTTTGTTAATTCCACAAAGGATTACTCTTCTCACATCTCCTTAAAAAATAAGAGAGCTACAGGGTAACTGTGTTGTATGAACACCAATACGCAGCTTTTGCTTTTGGCTAGCACTTAAGTGCATTCTCATCTGAGATTTAAGCATTTGGAAGACTGTGAGGAGAAATTCTAAATTATTAAGTCACTCCAGGTATAAAAGAAGTAATTCTAGGTAGAAAAACTGCAGAAATTTGCTGCTGTTTCTATGGAGAAGGAGGACGGGTTGAGGTGAGCGGGGAAGTAAAGAGAGATGCGAGTTAGGGAAGATAAAGTATTTTGGGATGAGTGAATTCATGAGAGATACTTAAACGTACGCACATTTTCTCTAAGAATTTGGATTTACAATGTTGCCTTATAATGATATAAGAGGTTGTTGTCGTCATCAGAGAAGGAGAGGAGTGGGGTGAGGGAGATTTACTCCGAGAGCCCATTTCGAAGCGCATCACATAACTTTCTTCAGCAGTTTTGCTATTCCAGGCAAATTCTACTGTGTTCCCAAGGCAAAGAGAGTATTTGATTCAACCACGTACACTTTGTGACCGTTCCTGTCATTGAACTGAGTGCAGAACCCAGCTGAGACCCTCTGAGATCTGAGCAGAACGCAGTAGTCAATTCGTAATTACAATGAGCATTCCAGCCTGTTTTTGAGATGATTTCCCACCCCCTCTGGACCGAGCAGGACTCGGAGGTATTTAACATTTCTGAAGCACACGCCCCAACATCCCTCTAGAGCACATTCTTGGGCTAGGCTCGCGGGTCCCCACCCCTACCCAAACAGACTTGGACTATCTCCCTCCCCTCCCCCCGTTTCCAACTGCCCGGTGCGCGCTCTTCCTGGCAGCGTCTCTGCGGCCAGGCCAGTTGCAGGGCTCGGAGCCCGTCTTCTCCCGGGCGGTCACACGAGTCCATTCCCGGGAGGGCGGGCGGGGGGGGGGGGGGTGAAGCCCTTCCCTCCCGGCTGCTGATTGGTGCCTCCCCCTACCCCACCCTTCCCGCCGCACTCCGGCAGCATCCACAAGGTTCTAGCTTAACCAGCCCCACCACCTTCCCTCGGAAAAAAAAAAAAAAGAAAAAAAGTCACTTTAGCTCTCCTGGAGGCACGTTCTTGGAAGGAATAAAAGTGCTCCAGAACAGGTGGAAAAGGCGCAGTTCCCCTCGGCCTTCTATTTCTGGGCCGCGCAGCCCACGCCTCCTCGCGGGTCCCCCGGGCACCCCCCAGAACGGGGTCCCGCACCCGCGTGCGTTCCGGAGTCGAGCCCCGGGCCCCGGAGCCACCCCGCGGGCCCTTTAAAAGGACGCGACCACTGAGGCCAAGTGGGGGGTGGGCGAGGCCCTCCGGGCCCCGCGCCTCCGAGTCCCGGCAACTCCCGGGGGCCGACCCCCGGGGGGGCGAGCGGCGCCGGCGTCGCGGCGGGCCGCGCGGCCCCGCGCGTCCCGTCCCTCCGGGTCGGGGGGCTCGGTGGCCGTCCCCTCCCCCTCGCCGCCGGTGCAGCTGTCCGGACCCGGGGTGGGGGGTGGGGGCGGGGGTTGTTGTTGTGGTGCGCGCCGGCCCCGCCCCCTCCTCGTGGCGGCCCCTCCCCCCGCGGCCCCCTCCCCCGCGCCCGCCCCCAGCCCCATCTGTTGGCCGCCGCCGGGAGATGATTATATTGTACGGGACCCGGGGCGCGCGCGCGGAGCCGGCCGCCAGCGGGAGGAGCTCGGGCCGCCGCGCCGCCGCCCCCCGCGCGGGTCCCCGCCCGCGCTCAGCCCGGGCCGCCGCGGGAGGAGCCGCCGCCGCCGCCGCCGCCGCCGCCGCCGCCAGCGCGGCCCGGGGAGCCGAGGCGCCGAGGCGCGAGGGCCGAGCGCGGCCGCCGGCGCGCCTGGGAGATGTGCCCGGAGGAGGGCGGCGCGGCCGGGCTGGGCGAGCTGCGCTCGTGGTGGGAAGTCCCGGCCATCGCGCACTTCTGCTCGCTCTTCCGCACCGCGTTCCGCCTGCCCGACTTCGAGATCGAGGTGAGCGGCGGCCCCGGGGGCCGGGCGGGGGCCGCCCCGAGGGCGCGCGGGGCGTCGGGGGTCCGCGGGGACGCCCCGAGCCGGGCGCGGGGCGCGTGGCGGCGCGGGGCGCAGCGCGCGGGGGCGCCGGGGGCGCGCGCGGCGCTCGGCAAAGTTTCCGACTCCCGTTATTCTTCCTCCCCGCCGCGCCCCGGGAGCCCCCCGCGAGGCGCCGGCCACCGGGAGCCCGCGGCGGGCGCGCCGGGGCGGCGGGGGCGGCGGGCCCGGCCGGGGTGCTGCTTCCAGCCCGGCTTTGTGCCGACCCGGCGGCCCGGGCCCAGCACCGCCCGCCCCACCTGCCGCGCGGTTCCAGCTCCCGGACGGGCTGCGGGACGCTCGGCTTGGCCGCCGCCCGGTCGCTTCCTCCCCGCCGCCCGGGCGTGCGGGTGCTGACTTGGCCGCGGACAAAGGTAACTGCAAACTGTTGGTCGGCGTGGCCCGGGAGTTCGGCCCCGGCAGGAGAGCCCGGGCCGGATCGCAGCCTCCGGAGGAGCCGAGGGAGCCTCGTTGCCCTCCCCACCGCCCTCCCCCGCCCCGGTCTTAACTTTCTGCCGTTTTCGCACGGGCGTTTTCATCATTTCTGCAACTCCTCACGCCGGGGCCGCACGTTGGTGATTGATTGATTGATTGGTTTTTCGATTCAGGGGTACTTGCGCGAATAGCACTTCCTTCTCTCTCGTTGCGGAACGGGGAGCCTCGCGGGTCGCGGTGGAGGAAATTAAAACGCTGCAGAGGGGCGGGATGGGGGACCCCAGGGTCCCGGAGAAACCAGCCCCGCGCGCGGCCCCCGAGTTCGCAGGGCCGGTTCGCGGGGAAAGAACTCGTGCGTTCAAGTCGCGCCCAGTTCGGGTTTTGAAGGCGACGGTGACAAGAACGAGTTTGGCTTGAAAAGTGTTCGTGGGAGCGATTGTTGTACCGACGGGCTCGGACGATCAGGGCACAGCAGTTAAAGGCTGGGAATGCCAAATCGAGAGAAGTTTGTTATTCCGAGGATTCTGGGGATTTCTTTCAGTCGGTGATTTTTTTCCCCCTTTTTTCAAATCGTCAGGAGTTTAATCACATCCTGCTGCTCAAAATGGTGGCTCTTGTGCTGGTGACAGTGCCATCTTGGTGCTGGTCAACTTGTCCCGAGCCCATTGTCTTCCTTCCCAGATCATAAAGGGAGTTGATGCTGGGAGCACAAGTTTCGAGTTGAAGGACTCGTCCTAAAAATCCTGAGCCAAACTCATTTTCACATCCCCACATTCCCATTTTGTGGGTGGAAAAATAGAGGTGAATTGTTACAGCGGAGCTGGAGTATTGAATAACTTGTCATATGTTGAACTTGCGGTTTCGAAGGACGAACTGGTTTAATTCCTAAAGGAAATGTGAGCTGATCGAAGAGATCAGATTTGTATGTGTAACGGAAATGGAAAATCATTGAGTAATCAGGGCCTGTTAAGACGCCTGTCTTCTCCTTTGATTGCAGTGTTTCTTGAAACTGGCGCTTTTATTGTTAAAGTAATGGAAGGTCCATCTTGTAAAAAAGGCAGACTTGTACCTGTTATACAGCAAGAAAGGCCCCACGATATTAATGTATTGCAACTTTAAGGGATAGAAATGATGAATTGACAAAAGTGAAACAACAGCTTTTTCAGTAAACTACTTTGCGACCCTGGAACTGATCTCAGTTTACTCTCATCCACCAATGTGACTCAGAATTACTTTTTTTTTTCCCGTGATGAGAATGAACCCAAAGGCCTACCTACCTCACTGGTGTGAAGTATGCACTGTGTCACATCCCAGGCCTTCCATCATCAGTCTGAACAGTTCATTTATAGGAAATTGAGGAAGCAGAAATTTCAAGGATTCGACTTTTATTTATCTAAAGTGAAGCAATCTCTCAGATAGGTGAAGGGTTAAGAGAATAAATACGTGCTGCAATTGTAGAAGAGGCTAAGACATTCCACTTAGCTGGTCTACAGAGCAGGGATTTTTAATTTTGACATGTTTAAAAAACTCTAAAATGTTTATCAGTTTTGGGTATACATGATCTATTTTAAAAAGTTGATAAACTTGGTTCTCGGGATTTAGAATATGTTGAAGTATCAGGTTACAATCTGAATATCAACTTTGTTCAAGTTGGTCAAAATTCCTTGTTTTAAAATAAATATATTAACGTATGGAACTTGAAAAATTATAGAATACCATAAGAGAATTAAAATCACCCAACTCCCTTTGCTCAGATAAAAGCTTTCAACTATTAACATTGTATCTCTTCCACTGGAGGGTGTGGGGGAGGTGAAAGGAATTTTTTTTTCCAATTCCTCTTACCTTTTTTGTACTGCAGAGGTGTGTGTTTCACACACACACTTGATTGTGCTGCTCTCTTTTGGTTGTGTTTCGAGATTAGAGTGTGTGGTGTATATTTGACTGTGGCACGGGTGTCCCCAAACTGTTTTGTCTGGCATCTCAGACTGTGGGACTGTGTTGGGGATCAAACTTGTCACCTCATGCTTGCAAGTAAGCAGCTTTGCCCCACTGAGCTATCGCTGGCTTTCCAGGGATAAAAAGACAAAACAAAACAACAACTTAAAATATACTTAACGTGTACTCTGCCATAGATTGGGTGGGTTTTTTTTTTTGGGGGGGATGACTAAGGTCTAGATGAACAACTAGATTAATGAAACTAAATTCAGTAATTGGTATTATGAAGCATCTAAGTGCTTAACCTTGAATTGAGAGATTAACCAGAGAAACCTTTTTGGTTGTTGTTTTGGGGTCACACGCGTGTGTGTTCAGGGCTTATTCCTGGGCTCTGTACTTAAGAATCACTCCTGGTGGTAGTTGGGGGCCAGTGTGGACTAGAAGGGATTGAACCCAAGATGGCCACATGCTAGGCAAGCACCCTACCTGCTATACTATCCTGCCCCAGAAAACTCTTAGCTTTCTTAGTCTCTTTATCGTAACTAGGAATATAATTAAGTACTATCCTTAATTAAATCAAGTACAGAAGGTCTCCAGGGTAGGATATTTTGACAAGATTTGTTTGACTTTACTGTTGTATGAAATTGTTAAGCACTAAGAAGACACTGAGCTTTGATTTGCTCTTGTATGCAGTAGAACAACTTGGAGCCAGGAGATTTCCTCTCAGACACATTGTTTCACACAACAATGCTCTCCACACCTTTTCACTTTCAGTACAATATTCTATAAGTTACAGGCGATATCCAACAATTATACAACAGGCTTTTTGGTCTAACTATGCTAATACAAGTGCCTTTAGCTTAACCAAGCTACGTTTGGTAGGTCAGGTGTATTAAATGCATTTTTCACTTGTGATATTTTCATTTTATTGTGGGTTGGAGCGATAGCACAGCAGGTAGGGCGTTTGCCGTCCACGCGGCCGACCTGGCCAACCCAGGTTCGATTCCTCCACCCCTCTCAGAGAGCCCGGCAATCTATGGAGAGTATCTCACCTGCACGGCAAAACCTGGCAAGCTACCCGTGACATATTAGATATGCCAAACATAGTAACAAGTGTCACAGTGGAGATATTAATGGGCCCGCTTGAGCAAATTGATGAACAGTGGTAGTGACAGTGGGTTTATTTTATCATAAATTGAGAAAGATTTGTACTTTGTAATGATTCTAGTGGATTAGCCTGGTTAAGTTTTTCTTGATTTGGAAAAGACTGGTGAATTATTATGTTTCCCCCAAAACTCAGTACACATCTCCCCACCGTCCCCCAGTCTTGGAAGTCTTTATAGTGATGATAGTATCTTGCTTTATCAAAGCAAGGAAAGGGTGATATCAGTAATCTGGTGTAGAGTTCATAATGATGTGTGTGGGGTTGGCAAAAGAAAGTCCATCGTTTTGATGTACTTTGTCTAGAGAGGAGATTGGTTTTTCTAGGTGGCTCTTTGAAAATCATCACGTGAAATTACCTGCAAGATGGTTTGTGTAGTAGCAGCATGATAAAAATAATTTGATTGTCTTAATCTGCTTTCCCCCCTGAACTTCCTGCCTTTGAGTACTTTGCTTTTAAATTTTTCCTCTTCCTGATTGTGGTTATGTGTGGTTCAAATCACTCACCTGAATAAGCATGATGGCTTGGGGCAGTGTCTTTAATTCCGATTCCTGAAATTGGGGCCCAGCACCACATGGTCCTGAGCGCCCCGGGGAATGATGGCTCTGTCCCGCCCCCAGCGCCACTGTGTGTGGTCCCCACACCAACCCCCCACCCCCAGATTCCTGAATTCTACTCTTTGTATCTCCTTGAATCCAACCCCTTAATCAAGACCATTAAGACAAATTATTAAGCATGAAAATAAGTAATAACAAATTGCTGAAGGTAGTTATTAGTGCATCCGTTATATCAGCAATTTCTGAACCTGGGGCCTGTGAATCGCTTCTAGGAAATTTGGTATTGGTGTATGTAGAGGCATTTGCCTTGAAGAGAGGGCCTGGTTTCATCAAATTCTGAAAGAGATCTCCAACCATATTAAAGTTAAGCTTAAGATCCTGAAGAGGGGAATCAGTAGTTTGATGACACGAGATGTACTAGACTAGCAGTTAGGAAACTTGAATTCTTTCTTTTCATTTCCTGGGGGTCTGGAAGGGGGTGGGGGGCCTCTGGAGGCCTCAGGAGGCCCAGGGACTTGGGAGCCCTTCTGGTGATTTTTTTTTTCTTTTTGGGTCACACCCAGCCCATGCTCAGGGGTTACTCCTGGCTCTGCACTCAGGAATCACTCCTGGCGGTGCTTAGGGCACCATATGGGATGCTGGGAATCGAACCCAGGTCAGCCGAGTGCAAGGCAAACGCCCTATGGTGACTCCAGCCCCATGGTGACTCTTGGTGAACTTGCATGCAGTTTCATTGTGAGGGCTGGAGCATCCAGTGCTTTTCTGGCCCTGTGGGGCTGGGGATTACTCAAGCCACTGAGCAGTTAATGCACAGGGGTCTCTGGGGCTGCAGTGAT